AACCCAGGCCTCATGCATGCAAGGCAAGCACTCTACCACCGAGCCACCTTCCCAGCCCCTTTCAACCTCCTGACTGGCTAGGTTTGCAGGCATGAGCTACCAGTGTCCCTGTCCAGATGCAACTGGAGACAGTTACAATGGTTAACTCTGGAATTATGCAGCCTTAGGTTCAACCTCTGGTTCCACTACGTATTATTTTTATGACTTTAGGCAAGTAACTTAACCACTCTAAAACTTTTATATTTTTTGATAAGATAAATGAGGATTATAGTAATATCTGCATCATAAAAAAGAAAAAGTAAGAATGAAACATTTTGGTTTTTATTTTTTGTTTTATTTTTATTTTTGCCAGTTCTGGGGCTTAAACTCAGGGCCTGCACACTGTCTCTGAGCTTCTTTTGCTCAAGGCTAGCATGCTACCACTTAAGCCACAGTACCACTTCTGGCTTTTTCTGTGTATGAACCTAGGGCTTCATGTATACAAAGCAAACACTCTACCACTAAGCCACATTCATAGCCCTTTATTTACTTTTTTGTGACAGTACTATACTTGAACTCAGGGCCTCATTCACTTGCTTGGCAGTTTTACTCAAGGCTAGTGTAGTGCTCTATTTCTTGAGTTACAGCTCCACTTCTAATTTTTTTGGTGGTTTTTGGAGATTCAAGAATCTTATGGACCTTCCTTCTGGGCTGGCTTTGAGTAGTCAGTCTCAGTTTCCTGAGTCACTAGGATTACAGGCATGAGCCATTGGTGCATACTTTACTTTGTGTGTGTGTGTGTGTGTGTGTGTGTTGCTTTGGATTGAACTCAGGGCCTTGTAAATGCTAGACAAGTAGTCTTCTACAACTACTACTACTGAGCCATACTTTATTCCTTATAACTTTCTTGAGAAGGTTTTTCCTCCCCTCCTTTTTTCATAGTATTAGGGTTTGAATTCAGAGCCTCATATCCTCATACTTGCCAGGCAGACACTACAGCTGTACATCTTTTTTTTTTTGTCGGTTTTGGGGCTTGAACTCTGGTCCTGGGTGCTGTCCCTTAGCTCTTTAGCTCAAGGTGAATGCTGTACTACTTGAGCCACAACACCACTTCCGGTTTTCTGAGTGGTTTATTAGAGGTAAGAGTCTCACGGGACTTTTCCTTCCCTGGCTTTGAACTGGGATCCTCATATCTCAGCCTCCTGAGTAGCTAGGATTACAGGTGTGAGCCATCGGTGCCCACCTTAGAGCCATACCTCTTTTGCTTTAGTTATTCTGGTGGGTCTCACATTTTTGTAAAAGTAGATTGCAAATGGTAATCATCCTATCTGTCTCATAGCTGAGACTACAGTGTATTCCCTCATGTCCAGCATATTGATTGAGATAACAGAAGGCACATTGAAGACAGGATCTAATATGTATTTTATTTTATTTAATCTTGTATAGGTCTGCTTATGACATTTTTAACATATGAATATAGTAACTATTCATGGTGATTGTTAAGATTTCATTGAGGATGTCAGTTGTATCATGTAGTTAGAAAATTTTCTGGAGCTGGTGAGGGTCCTGAAATGGAAGTAGTGCTTTGCTTCTATTGATTAATTAATTAAGGCTAATTAGTCAATCTACCTCTTCTCATTACAAAGTAATGACTACAAAGGAAAAAGCTAGTTAATTAATTTTGAATCCAGGGCTTTGTGATGTTACTATAATTTATTAGTACTATATTTCATCTTAATTGTAAGATGCACATTTTTCATACTTTTTTTCCCCTGGTCCTGGGGCTTGAGCTCAGGGCCTGGGCACTGTCCCTGAGTCTTTTTCTGCCAAAGGCTACTGCTCTACCACTTGAGCCACAGTGCCTCTTCTGGCACTGTGTAGTTTGTTAGAGTAGTTTGTTGGAGATAATAGTCTATGAGACTATTATCAAAGCCCTTGCTGGCTTTGAACCTGAGATCCTCAGATCTCAGCCTTCTGAGTAGATAGGATTACAGGCGTAAAACACTGATGCCCAGCTTGAGATTCTTTTTCTCAAAGCCACTTGAGGCATAGTGCCAATTCTGGCTTTTTCTTTTCTTTTTTTTTTTTTTGGGTCTGGTCGTGGGGCCTGAACTCTGGGCCTGGGCACTGTCCCTCAGCTCTTCAGCTCAAGACTAGCGCTCTACCACTTGAGCCACAG